CTTTAAAAAAAAAAAAGAAGTCAAAAGATGTGTTGCTTTGGGCAAATCTGCTGTTAGGGACTTCCTTTTTTATTACTGATTTCTTTTTTTAATTTGAATTAAGGTTTACAAATCATACTGGTTTTTCATACAGTCACTAAGACATTTTGTTTTGTAACAATTATAATTGATTATATACATTATTTTATATTCATTAGTTATAATGTACTTAATTACAATGTCTAGTCAGCCTCTTATTGTGTATTGCCTTTCCCTTCATGCAGCTTCTCTGTTTATTAATGTTTACTCCTCCTTTTTCCCTCGTTTAGTCCCCAACATTGATTCTATCCTTTTGTAAACCTTTCCTTAACTTTTTCTCGTAGTGGTCTTTATACCATAATTATTATTTGTGACTAACTTGTGTCACTCAAGGTAATTTGTTCTAGATTTATCTATATTGTACAGTATTTCATTATTTCCTGATAGTTTTTCATTGTGTGGATGTATCATAGTTTCTTTAGTCATTTGTCCACTGATAAACAATGAGGTTGCTTCCAAATATACTCTTTTGTAAGTAATGCTATAATAAACAAGTTTGTGTATATTAATTTGTGGCACAAAGACCTTTTTATATTGCTAACAAAGATACCAGTTAAAGACTAAAGAGTACCCAAGCCAAGCCCTTGTATTTTCAGTTGCTTTATTTGTATGTACGAGTTGGATTAAAGAAGCAAGACTGAAGAAGAGTACTACTCTTGTTAAAGAGTGGTGAGTACACCATGGACTGCCAGGAGAACACAGCCAAGGGGCTCCTTGGAGCAAGGATGGTGACATTTCCTCTCACATACCACAGGCCTGTTTCAGGGGGTACCAGTCTTGGAAAAAGACTTTCCACTTGGAAAAATAGAGTGTCCACAAATGAGAAGATGACCCTTAATGAGCTGCAGTTTGAGCTCAAAACAGGGTGGTGATTGTGAGGATGGTGCAGGTCAGGGCAAGATTTCCATCTGTTGTTCATGGGGTTGCTGTGGATCATAGGTGACTTGACAGCACCTAACAACAACAAGAACAATAATAGAAAAATAGATCCTGTTTTTTCTTTTTGTATATATGTGTGTATATGTGCATGTGTATAGTCTTCTAATACTTTGTTTTTTGAAATTTATTAGCATTTAATAAAATACAGCAAAACTCACCTGTGCACTAGTAATAACCTAACATGAAAATGTAATTATGCATATAAGAATATTGATGTTGAAGGAGAAAATAGTTGCTAATCTTCTTCCATACATATTCTGTGCCTCCTTTCCAGGAATGACTAAAAAGACTTATGTGGAATCTATACTTGAGGGTATTAAGCAGTCCAAACAAGAAAACTTAGACATTGATGTTAGGTAAGAAACATTCATTGTGTTCATATTCTTTGTAGTTAACTATTTTACAAACTAGAGTGTGAAATTTTACCGTTGGGTCATGAATATAATGGATAAATCAGGCCATAGTGATTTCTCTTTCCAACAGAAAATAGAGCATCATTTAAAGTTTTTATAACTTGTTTATCTATAGATGAGAATGCAGTTACTAATTTATTTCAACCAATAAATATCAAGAAAAAAAAGAGTAGCTATGGATAAAAAGACATTCAAGAGACACATTGACCAACACAATATTTGGACCTTATTTTGGTTTTAAGTAAAAGAAAAAGAAATGAACAATGACAAAATTCAATAATTGCGAATATAAACAGAACCTACTCATTGAGGATTTTCAGAGGCTGTAAATTGTGTGAGAGGAGACTGCTCTTCTTTCTCCCACTTAATGGCTGGTGAATTCAGCCCACCTTTTGGTTGGCAGCACAACTAGGCCATAGTTACTAGATATTTTATGTGACTTATTCCTTCTGGAAAAGTAAAATTCATTTTGTAATTTGGCTATACTTTCTCTAGAAAGATGTATTCCATATAGTCTACCAGGTATTAATTTTCTACTAATTTTTTTTAACAAGGCTTTAGGAAATAATACATAATCTTTATTTTGGTAGTAGGCAAGAGAGGATATATATTTGTTAGAGTTCTTAAAATTATTTACTTGCATTGAGTGAATTTTATTGTATGAAAATTACACTAAATAATTTGATAAAGGATTAAATACACAAGCTGATCTGCAATTCATACCACAAAAGAATTTCCTTCCTGTAGAGTCATTCTAGTTCACTAGGGTTACTAGTGGCCATGAAGTATGTGTGAAAGGACTTGGCTACAATACCTGAAAGCAGGCAAAGAATGCCAAGAACAGAAGGGACTGAAAACAGTCTCAGACTTCCTGGAACATGTACCACTGTGAAAGGAATCTGGAAGTTCTCTGTTAAACAAAGACTATTTTCTAAAGTTCTTGATAAGGTTGTTAAGAGTGTAGTAAGACCTTGTTCATGAGTACACAGATGTTTTCTTGAAAACTGTTCATGTCTATCTATGCTTTGTTCCATATGTTTAAACATTTACCTACCCTTTGAGATCATGTTTTACTGTAAGCTTTGATTTTCTGCTAATAAAAGCAGAGACTTTACAATCTTTCAGTGCAATTAGCTTGAAAGAGTTTTTGTCCTCTGGAACCACATTTCACTTTGCTAGTCTTCCTTTGGCTCTACCAACTAGAAAAATCACCTTTTTACTTTTTTTTTTTTATGTATTGAAGATATCTGATAGCCATTGACAGAAGAGGTGGGCCCTCAGTAGCTAAGGAGACTGTTAAACTTGCTGAAGATTTCTTCCTTTCTACTGATGAAACAGTCCTTGGCCTTGACCTCAGTGGAGATCCTATGGTAAGTTCCTAATATATGTTCCTAAATATATTTTGTTTCTAAAAGGTAGAATATTAATAGGATAAAGATTAGCTTGGAGCATCCTATATTCTTTAGGGAGTACAGCACACTCTGTTCTGCCGTGGCTGTTCCAATTGTCTACCTACGTTCTTAACCCAAGCTCTTTTTTTTTTTTTAACCCAAGCTCTTAACCCAAGTTCTGAGAGCTATTCTTCTAAAAACAATGCTGATGCCCATTTACATACACAGGAGAGAAACTAATTTAATGGATGTTTTAGGACATTAGGGCTTACCTTAACTATCTTAGAGAACCTTTGGCTGGCCTCAAGTTTCAGATTAAAACAGAGTGTCTCAGATGTAACAATACTAATATTTTGAGCCAGACAGTTCACTATTGTGGGGTGGCTTATACAGCATCCCTGGTCTTAACTCACTAATTGCCAGTAGCACCCTCTCAATTGTGACAACCAAAAAATGTCTCCAGATGTTGAATGTCCCCTGGGGTGCGGTAAGCTGGGGATGGGGAACAAAAATCTCCTCCCTGTTTAAAACCACTGGATTAGAGAGAATTATGAAACTTATTCATATACATTTGTCTAAATTTCAGTCCTTTCCCCCTCTTACTCTCATTTATGCATTTAAAAAAACTTTAATGATTACGAAGGTTTGTAGAAGAGATAAGTTCTCCTTAGGCATGCCGGGACCAGTACATGGGAGAATATGTAAAACCTCCATTCTGAGCCACTTCCCCACTGTTGACTGCAGCAGAGAAGGGCTGTCTCTACGCTGAACTGGAAGTCAGCACACCAGTGGTCTAGCCTTAGCTCTCTCCTAATTTGTGAATTTTCATCTTTTATTTACATTAATTTGGCCATATAATGTCTTCCCCCCCCCAGCCATGTTTCTTTATAAAAGCGAAATAATAGAACTCTAGGTTCCTTCCAGAAATAAAATTTTATAATTGCTAAAAGAAACAAAAAAAAAACCTATCCTGCAGAAAGTACAGCCGTAACGGCTTCTTATAAGCAAGGATAGCAGGACTTCATCTCTCATTCTTTTGAGTATGTTATCAGGAGAGACTAATTCCTGCAGAAGGACATCATGCTTGGTAGAGGGCCAGTGAAAAAGAAAGACTCTTAATAAAATGGTTGACATAGTGGCTGCAGCCGAACAAGATTTGTGAGGATAGCACAGGACTGGGCAGTATTTCAGTCTGTTATACTTGATGTCATGAGGAGACAGAGTCCGTGACATTTAACAACACACCTAGCTTAGCTGATCGACTTCACTGACACTTACGATTCCCAAGGACAAGAATTTACCAGCTGTTTATTCCCCCAAGGATCTACAACATTGTAGGTATTTCATAAACATTTTAGTAAATGTGTTAGTCAATCTGCTGTCATTTTATTCTTTTGCTTATTGGAAAAGAGTACCTCGTTCCTCAGCTTGTTAGAATTTTCATGCATCTTCACCTTTTTTCTTCAAGGCGGGACAAGCAAAAGACTTCTTGGAACCTCTTTTGGAAGCTAAGAAAGCTGGTCTGAAGTTGGCGTTGCATCTCTCAGAGGTAAATAATACTGTCTTAGGCTGGAGAGTGCAAACTCCCATGGAAAATAGTAGTAGCATTTTTAAATGACTGACAATAAACGTAGCTTAAGAAAACATTTTTAAAAGGAGAAAGTAGAAATATCTCTATTCTAAGTTAAAATAATTTACTTTATTCCCTTAAAACAACTTTCTTTAGTATCTTTTGTTGCTGTTTGTATCTTTTTATGACCAATGAAGTAGCTGCTGATTCATGGCCCAGTGTTGGATTAAAAGAGGTTAATGAAATCTTGATAGAGAAAATGCCTGAATTTTTATCATCTGCCTAGTCACTGGCAAGCTGACCCCTTGAGAAGTATCTGTTCATCTCATGTGTTCTTACAGTAGAAGAAACCTAACGGTTCCTCTTTGTCATTTTGTGAGGCTTGGTATGCCTTCCTTTAACTCCATCCAGCTCCCTGGCTGTGGGAGCTCAGGCAGATACTACACAGATCAGGGTGGAGAACAGTCAATTTCTTAAGCATATGCTTGTGGATACATATAAAAAGGGATGCTCCATACCTTTTTAATCTGTATGCAGAACTGATCATCCTGTATGCTGGGCTGTACAAGGAGGAATGTGGCATGAGGATTGGGGGAAGATTCATCAATAGCTTGCGTTATGCAGATGACACAACCCTGCTTGTTGAAACTGAGGAGGACTCAAAGTACTTGCTGCAGAAGGCTATGGAATACAGCCTTCAATATGAGTTGAAGCTCAACATCAAGAAAACAGAGATTCTCATCACTGGGCCAATTGGCAGCATCAGGATGGATGGTGAAGAGATTGAGATAGTTAACAGTTTTAGTTTGCTTGGCTCCACAGTCAACACTCTTGGTACCAGCAGCCAGGAAATCAAGAGACGAATTGCATTGGGAAAGTCAGCTGTCAGGGACCTTTCCAGAGTACTGAAGAGCAATGACGTCAGGCTGGAGACTAAAGTGTGCCTGGTCTGGCCTATAGTCTTTGCAGTTGCGTGCTATGCATTGGAGAGTGGGACAGCGACAAGGAATGATGATAGAAAGAGAATTGATGCCTTTGGGCTGTGGTGCTGGAAAAGAGTGTTGAATATACCATGGACTGCTAGGAAAACCAACAAGTTTGTCCTGGAGAGGGTGAAGCTGGGCTGCTCCTTGGAGGCAAGGATTCTGTAGCTTCATCTTTGGGCATGTTTTGAAGCTTTACTTTGGGCATGTTGCAAGGAGGGACCAGTCCTTGGAGACATCATGTTTGGTAGAGTGGAAGGAGAGCGCAGGGGAGGAAGATCCTTGATGAGATGGATCAATCCAGTTGTTGGGATAGTGGGAGTAGGTTTGTCAGAGACAGTGTGGTTGGCACAGGAAAGAGCAGGGTTTAGGGCTCTTGTATATAGGGTCTCTATGAGTTGCAAGCGACTTGATGGCACATAACAACAACAACAACATGGATATTATTGATAGGAACAGTTCCCCTTTATGAAGCAAGTAAAAGTCATACTTGGCCACCCCCACATTGCATTTGCTTCTTATACACCCACCTAATGCTTTATTGAAGAGACTGGTTGATACAGTGAACAATGTATGCTACTGTGACCTCAGGTCTTTGTGCATAGCATCAAATTTTGCTTGTCCTTTGAGACCTTTAGTTTTGTGTCTTCTCCTGTGGTGCTTAAGTGATAGTCCTTGTGAAGAGGCAGAGAGTAGGTTCTTGAAATTATGAGGATGGTGCAGCATAGGGCAAGGTTAAGACCTGTTGTTCATAGGGTCACTGTGGGTCATAGCCAACTTGATGGCACCTAACAACAACAGAGTCTTAATAAGTGTTTATTATTACTGAATCTGAAGGAGCTCTGATGGGATAGTGCATTATGTATTGAGCTGCTAACAGAAAGGTCACAGATTCTAATCCACTAGCTGCTCTGAGGGAGAAAGGTAGGAGGTATCCTCTTGTAAGGATTTACTGGCTTGGGAGCCCAATAGAGGGTTACTATGAGTTGGAATCAACTCAACAGGAGTGGTATTATTAAATCTAGAGTTATTATTACTATCATTGAAAGGAATCTAGAAGAATAATGGGAATGAGTGGGAAAGTAAAAGGTGAAGAAAAATGCTGGAAAAGATTAAGTACATAAAGTGAGGAGTAGCTACTCGGAGGGACATACTACCTGGCTATAAGGGGGAAATGTGTGAAGGACTACGAGAAGAGGTCACTGGTCTCATTCTCACCCTCTTTTTTCTCTTAAAAAAAAAGATTCCAAACCAAGTGAAAGAAACACAAATTCTCCTGGATTTGCTTCCTGACAGAATTGGACATGGGACATTTCTTAACTCTTCTGAGGGAGGATCCTTGGATCTGGTGGATTTTGTGAGGCAACATCGGATACCACTAGGTAAGGTATTAGACAGTCTCTGCCTTCTAGTCCTCCAGGTTGCAAATAATTGGTAGAGATGGGCTGTGCTTATGGGGATCAGTGTGATGAGGAGAAGAAAAGAAAGAATGCATGATGTGTGTGCTTTCTGAGACTCATTTAAGAATGTTTTTATTCCCATTAAAATAGAAGTTCTATCCGGGAAGAGACCTTCTCTTTCTTGTCCTCTACTACATTCCCCAGGCCTATAACTGTGTCTCACACTTGGTAAATATTTATTGAAGGAATAAGAGCATCAGAGAGCTGGACAATGACTAAGGATGGTAGAAGGAGAATTGATGCCTTTGAACTGTGGTGTTAGAGAAAATTATTCAATATACCATGGACTGCTAAGAGAACAAACAGATTTTTCCTGGAGATGGTGAAGCTAGGTTGCTTCTTGGAGTCAAGGATTCTGAAGATTTGTCTGACATACTTTGGACATGTTGCAAGGAGGAACCAGTCCTTGGAGAAGGACGTCATGCTTGGAAGGATGGAAGGACAGTACAGGAGAGGAAGACCCTCTCTGAGATGGATTGACTCAGTGACTGGGGTAACGAGGTTTGGTATGTCAGAGACAGTAAGATTGGCACAGGATAGAGCAGGGTTTAAGGCTGTTGTACATAGGGTTGCTATGAGTCGCAGGAGACTCGATGGCACTTAACAACAAGAGTCATTTAGTGCAGCCAGAATGCTACTTAGAGGCAAGGATGACAAAGCTTTGTCTCACATACTTTTGACATGTTGCTGAAAAAGGCTATCCCTTGGAGAGTGATAACATGCTTTAAAAAGGTGAAGGGTCCCCAAAAGATAGAAAGACCTCAACCAGATGGACTGACACAGTGACTGTAATGGGCTCAAGTGTGTCAGAGATGATGAGGACGGCACAGGATAGGACAAGGATCAGATCTGTTGTTCTTAGGGTTGCAATGAATTAACTCTATGGCACCTAACAACAACAAAAGTATTTTGAAAAAGGAACTCTAGTGATATAGTCTGTAACATGTTGTGCTGCTAGTCAGAAACTGCAAGTCTTTGGTGGTTTAAATCCAACAGCAGTTTCAAGGAATATAGTTGGGCATTCTCCTCCCATTAAGATTTACAGCCTTGGGAAATCAAAAGAGGGTCACTGTAAGTCAGATCAATCAGTTGGTAATATTTTGAAATGACATTAAGATGATGAACATATTGTATGGAAATATATAGCATTTCTTTTACAGTAAGAACTATGAAAAATTCCAAATATATTTTTGTATGTGAGTAAGGAGTTGCACTGCCAACCCAAAGGCAGGTGGTCCAAATCCCTCAGCTGCGCCATGGGAGAAGGATGAGCAATCTCCTGTGCAGCTTTCAGCCTCTTCAAACCCGGTGGCAGGTCAACTATAAGGATGTTCCGATTTAGAAGCAATGAGTAAGTGACTGATAGGTAAACTTATTTGTTTACATTTATATATGTGACACTTTTTTAATTTAACAACAAGATTTACAGAGAACTTATTCTGTTCCACCTACTGATTCAGCAAGGTGGGAAGTAGGGCAGGAAACAAAATAGACATGGTTTTATCTATTTGTTCCTCAAAGAACTTATATTCTTCAAAAAACGTAATTCTAGTAGAAGGAAGATATTCAATAAGCAAATACTTAAGAAAGTATTTTTAAATTCTATGAAGAATATTAAACAGACTGATATGATAATGTTTGGGTAACTACTTTCAATTGGCTTGTCAAGGGAAGCCTGCCTGAAGAGGGAAAGCAACAATTTACTGAAAAATATCTTAATAAATAATCAATTTATGAATTTTAGCTATTTAAAAATATGTGTATGTGTATACACTATTTCTTAACTATAGCATTTCAATTCATATTAGATGAGCTTTTTTTCTTTTTACTTAGGTTTTTTTTTTTTCCTTAGTTTTAGGTATTGTCATAACTGGAGTCCAGAACGAAGGCTGTATAGTGGAGTGGACCTGGGGGGAGAGATTTTATAACAATGAAGGAATTTTTCTTTTGCTTTTCAAAGAGAAGAGTGAATTGGGGGTAAAGGGCTGGGCATGGAGAAAAGTGCAACAATGAATGAATGGAAATCCAAAGTCACTGTAAATTTTCATTAAAATTAATAATAATAATAGAAATAAAAAAAAACAACAACAAGGGCTAGATTAATTCCTGAAAGTACTACAGTAAAATAATCTTTTAATCTTAAGTGGGGGGAAGCCCCTAAAAATGAAACAATATTTTAACTTAATTAATAAAGAATGCCATGGAGCTCTGATAGTGTAGTATTACAGCTGCTAACCCAAAAGCCATACTTCTCTGGCCATTCAAATTCACCAGTGATTCCGAGAGAAAAAGATGGACAGTCTATTCCCATGTGATTTATGGCCTCAGAAAATCTAGTAGACAGTCAGCTGTGAGTCACTTCTGACTTATCAGCAATGAATGAATAAAGAATGTCAGAAATGTCTTTCTGAGCATTGTAGTCTCTTAAAATCTATATTGGATCAAACTGATGCAAGCAACTAAAAAGACTAGATAGGAGCATGTGGCATTAGCTTAAAAATTGTACGGAATAAGGGTTGCAGAGTGGATTATATTTGGGGTGGGTGTGGGGTTGGGAAGTGTGGGGGGGCATCGTGTACCAGTGAAGGAGTTTTTCTTTTGCCTTTCAAGGAGAGAAGTGAATGGGGGTGGGGTTAGGGTGGGCGGGGAGAAAAGAGCAACAATGAATGAATGGAATTCCAAAATCTCTGTAGATGTTCATTGAAATTAAAGAAAGAAAGAGAGAGAGAGAGAGAGAAAGAAGAAAATTATAAAAAAACTAAGCCCAAGTTTTTTTCACTATGACTCAAAATAAATTTACTTGTAATATTACTAAAAATGACTATTAAAAAAATTGGCTTTTCTAAGCCATTATGTTAGTCCCCTCTGGTCTCCAATCACCTTAACTATAGACACTTACCGTATAAATCATCAACAGCTATGGGACGAGGATAATAGAGAGAGTGCTTCCCACACTGGGCAAGAAGACTTGAGGGAGACTGGAGCAAGAGCCTGCTGAGAACGAGACCCTGGTGATGAGACCCCAGTGATGGTGGTGGAGAGACTGTGGCAAAGTATAACCAGAGAAGCCTGGAGATAAAGGCCACAATTAAAGGCAATTAAAGATTTTGCTGTGTTTGCCAGATAATTGAGTAGAAGCTGAGCTATAACTGCTCAGAGGCAAACCTTGCTGGTAACTGAGGAAACCAGAGGCTTTTTAAAAATTTGTGTTGCTCAGCTGAAACAGGAGCCTGGACTAATTGAGGAGTTGTGCCTTGGGACTGCTGGGCTAAACCCTGGATTTGTATTGGGTGATAGTCTGCCTCCCCTACTCTCCAACTTACTTCCTTTAATAAACCCCATTCTCAGTGCCACAGCTTTTGAGTCTGTGAGTCAACAACGAATAAATGAACCGCTTGCACCATGGGGTTGCGCTTTGGGCTCTTTATGTGCTTTCTACTCTGAGGCAGTAAAGGGCTGTGCTATTCTTGCTCTCTCTGGCCCTTTTAGAGAGACACTCAGGGTCCTGTGCCCTTATGTTCTGTTTTTTGCTCCCTAGACAGAACATTAGAGGACAGTGAGTTTATGTTCATAGAAGAGGAACAACTCAGAAGAGTGAGAATGGTAAGGGAGCTATAGTAGCATGTTGTTGTTGTTGTTAGGTGCCATTGAGTTGCCTGCGACTCATAGTGACCCTATGTACAAAAGCTCTGAACCCTGCTCTGTCTAGAGCCATCCTCATTGTCTCTGACACACATATCCCCATTTTCCCAGTCACTGAGTCATTTCATCTCAACCAAGGTCATCTTCTTTTGTGCTGTCCCTCAACCCTTTCAAGCATGATGTCCCCTCCGAGGACTGGTCCCTCCTTGTAACATGCCCAAAGTATGTCAGATGGAGCTTTAAAATCCTTGTCTCCAGGGAATAACCTGGTTTCACCTTCTCCAGGATGGACTTGTTTGTTCTTTCAACAGTCCATGGTATATTCAATACTCTTCTCCAGCACCACAGCTCATAGGCATCGATTCTTCTGTCCACAGCAAGTTGTGCTGCCAAACCAAAGGCTGTGCATCTCTGGCAGTTAGATTGCACCAATAGATCCACTATAGGAGATTTGTTGTTGTGTTCTGTCCAGTCAGAAATGACACCTAGCTGACCCTCCAGTGGGTTTTCAGAGGTAGTTAATTGCATGGGAGGAGACTGCCCAACCTTCTCCCACAAAGCAGCTGGTAGATTCGAACCACATGACGTCAGGATTGCATAGCAGCTTTTTACCATTAGGCCACCAGCAGTCTAGTCAATTATATTTACAGCCTCACAAACCTACTGAAGAGTCACTGTGAGTCAGAACTGACTTGATGACAGTGAGTATGTTTTCACAACTAAAAGAACGTAATCAATGTTATTAAGTTGTATTTTTTTTAAAGTCAATTTTGTAAAATAACTACATTTACTGTGGTTTAGAAAAATTCCTTTTATATCTGTTTGGCTACTGTGGAATGACTTACCTATTTTTAATATGATATTTATTTTTTCCTTTCATCTAGAACTCTGCTTGACCTCAAATGTCAAAAGTCAGACGGTCCCATCTTATGAGCAACATCATTTTGGATTCTGGTACAGCATTGCCCATCCTTCTGTGATCTGTGTAAGCAGTTCTATTTTGCTTTTATTTGTATGCCTGAGGTACATTAGATCAGATGCTCACCTTACAGCTGAAGGGTTGGGCATGAGAGGCTACAAAGGGTAGGGTGACTCTGATTTGGCATTATAGGAAATGGCCCAGGATTATACCAGACAGAGCGTTAAATAAAAATACTGCTCAGGGAGCTCTGGTGGCCTAGTGGCAAGAAGCTGCACTACATGCCCAGAAGTATGCTGTTTAAATCCGCCAGATGCTTTGCTGGAGAAGGAGGGGCAATCTCCTCCTGTACCAGTCAGATCCGATTTGACGGTACACGCACAAAATAACAAAAAGGAAAAAAAAAATACTGCTCAGCATCTAGTTCCTGTGATTATTTGATCTGGGCTCATCCTGAGCCCAGGTGACTTCAATATACATCCACTGTTGAGAACCATTACTCTGGTGTTTTTAAAAGTATAAACAAGTCTGTTGCATTTGGCACCTGTATTGACTCTACCAGTCGGATAAAACATGCTAAATGGGAAAATGAGACCTAACCAAAAAGTTTTAAAACATTTTTCTTATTCATTTGAAAATTTCTTGCTTACACTGGCAGACTGACGATAAGGGTGTTTTTGCGACACACCTTTCTCAAGAGTACCAGCTAGCAGCAGAAACATTTAATTTGACCCAGTCTCAGGTGTGGGAGCTGTCTTATGACTCCATCAACTATATCTTCGCTTCGGATGGCACCAGATCTGAACTAAGGAAGAAATGGAATCACCTGAAGCCCCAAGTGTTATGCTTCTAAAGTGTAATGAGGTAAGCAACTTTCAAGTTACACACTGCAACAAGATCTTCCTATAATACCTACTTACTAAATCACTCACCACTGACTGTGAAGCATAAGCAGCCAAGGATCATGGGCCTGAATGGTGCTCCATACTTATTTAATTGACCAGCAAGCTCTGATGCCTAGTATATCATATCTCCATGCTACTTACTGAAGAGACTTGCTGCTAACTAAACTCATCTCACCTTTAATACACATTTTTATAATCTAACAATCTCTCTCCAATAGTGATCATGAAACTGTAAGGAAATTACTTTTTTAAAAGTACAGATTTTGGGGAGCTCTGGTGGCCTAGTGGCAAGGAGCTGCAACTACAATCCCAGAGGCGCACGGTTCGAATCCACCAGATGCTCTGCCGGGAAAGGAGGGACAATCTCCTCCTGTACCAGTCAGATCTGATTTGACGGTACACGCACACAAAAATAATAAAATAAAATAAAAAAAATAAAAGTACAGATTTTGTAATCACTAGTCTCAAGTTATGCTGCCAGCTCAAAGGTGGGTAGTTCAAATCCACCAGTTCCTCCTTGGGAGAAAGATAGGCAGCCTACTCCTGTGCGACTTATAGCCTTCAAAAACCCACTGGAGGGTCAGCTATCAGTTCCAGTTTGGCAGCAGTGAGACAGTGTCTAAATAAGGAAAGAGGAAAACAGATTGCTGCCAAAATCTTTAAGCTTTCTAGCTTGTCAAACAGCTGTTCATGTTGTGCTTACTTGAATTAGACTCTGCTTGTTATATCTATTTAGTATTCCTCAAAACTGTTGATTTCAGCCTAGTTGCACACTGTGCATTCATGTGAATACCAGGCAGTCATGGTTAACATGCTTTGGGGTGACCCTGGTGACAGATAAATCCAGTTGTGAGATTTAACTTAGCCCTTCTCATGACTCTCCCATCTGTACTTGGCAAGGATTGAAGTTATCACCATATTTTAGCAAAAAGAGGGGATACTAGCTCACCAAAGCTTGAGAAAGATAGAAACTGCTGCCATCACTTTTAAACAAGCTGTCCCTTTTGTTTTTCCTTTGGGAAGATTGCAGGATTTCTACCCCAGTCCTCAGTATCTTTACCCCTGCACAACAGAGCATTGACACAGGCTGCTATCAACTTACAAACCATAGGCATTCCAGTTAAAGATGACAGACAAACTCAGATCAATTAATTTAAAATAATGTTACTAGATTATCAAGATATGCTTGAGTTCTTTCTTTCAATACATGTTTTTCTCCCAAGGTGAGAGGTAAGATGTCTACTTTTGATTACTAAGAGTTTCTGATAAGCATTCTTTCTTTTTTCCCAGAAAATGGAATAGAAAGAAGCCCCTTAGGTTTCTTATGTTCTTAGACTAAAGATGTTTATGTCTTTGCATATGACTGTTATGTCATTCCCTCCACCCTAACCCATGCATTCAGAGACTATCCCTAGACTCCAGAATCTTGAAGTAGGTTCTTCTGTTGACAAATGGTACAGTTTTGGTTTCTTTAGGGCAGTAAAACTTCAGATCTCAGATTGGAATCCTAGGGAGAGTTTGCAAAGCCCATTAGGATTGTTGTTATGTGCTGTCAAGTGGCTTGTGACTCATAGTGACCCTGTGTACAACAGTCCTGAACCCTGTGCCGACTTTATTGTCTCTGACACACCTACCCTACATTGTTGTTGATTGTTGTCGAGTCAAGCACAACTCATAATGACTCTATGAACAAATGCCTTTCTATACCTATCGTCGTTTCTCCAAGTTCATAAATTTTCCATAGGCATGTGGCTTAGGAAGTGGATACCACTCCTGCTTCTAAACCTGTATTACACTGAAAGCTCCACTAAACACTGTCCACATTGGGAAACTATATGGCATTTGACACCCTAATGGCACAAGGTTCAGCATCACAGCAAACCCAGATTACCACAGTACAGCAAATAGATAAAAAGAGTGATTTACAAAGTAGAAGAATGTTCCTCCAAAATATAATAACACTAGTTTTGGAAGTAGGAGTAGTATCCATTTCCTAAACATCCTGTCTCCAGAAACTCTATGAACTTTGATAAATGTCAATAGTTATAGAAAGGCTTCAGGCCTTTTGTTCATAGGGTTGCTATCAGACGTGTTCAACTCAACAACAACAACAGTCTCACTTAGCAGTGGTTAAGTGTTGTCTCAAGTCGAATATGACTCATAGCGATGCTATGAACAAAAGACCTGACTGTGTTCTATACTTAACGTCATTAAACACCCACACTATAGACCTATAAAATCAAGTTTTGTGGTTTTCTCCATCTATATATAATTATTTTCTTAAAAAAATACTCAAAGACATAGTAATATTAATCATAGTACTTCTAGTATAAAATTACTTACAGTCTAAATGCCTAAAAATAAGTGGTGATCTATTTGTCAAATAAGTATTCTACCCATCCTGAGGCTATATTCTTCTCAATCTAGTCCCACTTTTCAAATTATTTGCTGAACATACAGATTGAATGTGTATATAGAAAGGATACAACCCTGATGTACACTTTTCCTAATTTTAAACCATGCAATGTTCCCTTCTTCTGTTTGGACAACTCCTTCTTGTGCTACCTTAACTACCATATAGGTTTCAAATGAGCACATTCCAGTATTCTGGGAATTCCTGCATTACATAGATAACATAGTCTTGCTTGCAAAAAGTGAAGAAGACTTGAAGCATTTACTGCAGGAGATCAAAGACTACAGTCTTCAATGTAGGTTACATCTCACTATCAAGAAAACAAAAATTCTCACCATTGGACCAGTAAGCAGCATCATGATAGATGGACAAAAGATTGAAGTTGTCAACAATTTCATTTTACTTAGATCCACAGTCAAGACGCTTGGTAGCAGCAGTCAAAAAAAAAACCAACACCAATAATAACAAAAACCCAAAAAACGTGTTGCATTGGGAAATCTGTTGTCAAGGATTCATCCAAAATTCTAAACTGCAAGGAATTCAGTTAAAAGATTAAGGTGTGCCTGATCCAAACCTTGGTTTTTTTCAGTTTCTTCCTATGCATATGAAAGTTGGATAGTGAATAAGGAAGACTAAAAAATAATTGAAACCTGTGAATTGTTGTGTTGGTGAAGAATATTGAATATATACCATGGACTCACAAAAGAACAAACAAATCAGTCTTGAAGGAAATAAGGAGAATGCTCCTTAGAGGCAAGTATGGTGAAACTTCATCTCACTTTGGGCATACTTTCAAGAGGAGCCAGTGTTAAGAGAGAGATCATGCTGGGAAAGAGGATCAGGGAAAGAATGGAAGAGTCTCAACAAGGTGGACTGATGCAGCGTCTCCACAGTATCCTAGAGCATGACAAGGATCGTGGGGATGGTGCAGGATAGGGCTAAGTTCAGATCTGTTCTTAGGGTTGCTGCAAGTTGTAGTCGACTTGATGGCTTCCCACCACCACATTCATAAAACGTGATTATTTTGCCACCACTAAAAATGTAGAATAAAGTTTATTGACACAAAAATAGTTTTGATAATAAATTCAATAAAAAGAAAATTTATAAACAAGTTCTTAGTTCATTTTTATTATACACACACATACAAAAACTGTTGGGATGAATGGTTTTCATTTGTTTATCATGAAATTCTTTTTTTTCTTTTAATTTAATTTTATTTTTTTGTATGTACCGTTGAATCAGATCTGATACAGGAGGAGATTGTTCCTCCTTCTTCAGCAGAGCACCTAGTGGATTCATACCGTGTGCCTCTGAGATTGCAGTGCAGCTTCTTGCCACTAGGCCACCAGAGCTCGCTGAAATTCTTTTTTATAATAGAAAGATCATCCTGGTCTTAAGTGGAAGTGGGAAACACACAAATTTCTCTGTAGGAATAAAAAGTATTTTTTAAAAAATATTTTCACTTTATCCTTCTCTTATTATTTAACATCGTAAAACTATGATGACCAAGCACTTCTTACACTCTAGGGTACTTCAGCTGTCCATTTCTAGCCTTTAGTTTGATTTTGATTTCCAAATTTGTGTTTCTGAAAGAGCTTATGGTAGATAAAATAGGCAGGAAGGAACTTCGGTTCTTTTTAATCAGCTCAAATACTACTTAATTTGAGTTTAAACCTTTTACTTCATGCTCCCAATTTTTTGTCTGTATCATTGATTATTGGGCAAGGGACATGAAATTGAAAAGTTTAGTTTATCCGTTAGAAGAATATTTACTGCTGCTGGTGAGATTCTAAAATGAAATTCTTTAAATTGTCTCCTGACGTATCGTCCATATTGCTTCTCTCAGCAGGGGTTATGGATTGAATTGTGCCATCAAAAATGTGTCAAGGGGGGGCATGATTCTCAGTATTATATAATCATTTTCTGTTTTGTAATCTGATATAATTTTGTGTTCTCCATATTTTATATTCATGAAGCTGGATACAATCTGCAGTATTAGGTAGTATCTTGAGTCTCTCTTGACAAACAAGTAGACATAGGGTCCACACAAGCAAGAAGGGCTTGTCCCAGCAAGAAGGGCTTGTCCCAGCAAGAAGGGCTGGGAGCAGAGTGCCATCTGTGGACTTAAGGCCTCAACACTGAAAAAGCTCCTAGAGCCAGGGGAAGATTAATATCAAGACACATGGAGATCTCCAAGGTTAGTTGGTCCACAGGGGACAAAGGAAATAAGACCCTTCTAGAGCTGACAGTGAGACAAGTCTTCCCTAGTGCTGATACCCAAAATTTAAACTTCTAGTCTTCTCTGGTGGCTTAGTCGTAAGGAATTGTGCTGCCAACTCAAAGGCTCCAGGTTCGAATCCTCCAGCTGCTCTGCAAGAGAAAAGTAGGCAGTTTCTTCTCATGTGATCTACTGCCTCTGTAAACACACTGGAGGGTCAACTATGAGTCAGTTCTGAATTGATGGTACATAACAAGAAGTCTCCCAAGCTTTGAGAATAAATTTCTGCTTGTTAAATAAGCCATTCTCTTGGATATTTGTTATAACAGCATTTGGTAACTAAGATAGCAAGTAATCCAAGAACCTTCAAATAACAAATTGATTTTCCCTAATAAAATATAAGTAGTTCAATAGCATGTTTTGGTGTGATATATTTGACATCTGTTACTTTTAAGCATAAGGAGCCCTGGTGGTACAATGTTTACCTGCTTGACTGCTAATCAGAAGGTCAGCCATTTGAACCCACCAACCACTTGATGGAGGAAAATTACTTACGATCTTGTCCTATAAAGTGTGTAATCTAGAGAACTGTATAGGGAAAGTTACACTGCGCCTCCAGGGCCAGTAGGAGCCAGAATTGACAGCACACAAGTGTGTTCCCTTTCTTAGGAAGAATACTTGAAGACTTTCTTCCTTACATATTTCATCCTTAGGAAAAGAAGACTAGGAAGCAGAGGGGAAAAAAAGAGATCAGCTGAGTCTTCCCCTGCTAAGAAAGCTTGACTTTGTCTTAATCTTTTTGGAAACCATCTGGAGGCTGGAAAACTGGTTTTGATCTTTTTAAATAAGGCTTGTTATTCATGTTTAGCTGTTGCAGTTTTAGCGCATTATAGTGTGTTCCAGTGGCTTAGTCTGTAGTCATTTAGTTGCACTGCTAATCTCAAAGTTGCGTGACTCTGGCTGTTGGAATCTACCAGCTGCTCCAAGGGAGAAAGGATAGGCAGTTTCCTCCTACTGCAATTTACAGTTCTGGAAACCAGCTCTATGGCAGTGAGGTTTTTTTGTGTCAGCTTTGTTATTGTTGGGTGTTTCTTTTAAATGAGTCATTGTGGATATGAATACAGCTATCAAGGTGTAGGCTTTTGGTTCTCACGTTTGTTGTGCCTTCTTTTGCTTAGAATAGATTAATTTCAGTGACCCCATATTGTTTTTATTGTTATGTGCCATCGAGTCGCTTTCGACTCATAGAGACCCTATGTACAACAGCCCTAAACCCTGTTCTATCCTGTGCCAATCGCAGTGCCTCGGACACACCCATCCTGATTACCCCAGTCATTGAATCAATCCACCTCAGAGAGGGTCTTCCCCTACTATACCACCCCTCCACCCTCCCAAGCATAATGTCCCTCTCCAAGGACCTCCTTACAACATGTCCAAAGTATGTCAGACGAAGTCCCAGAATCCTTGTCTCCAGGGAACAGCCCGATTTAACCCTCTCCAGGTTGAATCTGTTTGTTTTCTTGGCAGTCCATAGTATATTCAATACTCTTCTCCAGCACCACAGCTCAAAGGCATCAATTCTGGTACTCTGACCATACAAGCAATTAGTTTAATACTGTTTATTAAGAGCAGTAATTACACTTTCATTAGCTTTTAAAAAGAGATGTATACAGTTCAGTATTTGTTATGTTTCAGCCATAGACTGGTAACTATACCAAATAGACAAAGATAATTCATCTTCCATGCCTTAGGGCAAGAGTTGTTGGTACTAAGCTAGTCTGCTTTCCGAGCACACAAGGATGTGGCAGTGACTTCAGCCACTGCAGCTTAGTACTGAGTGCCCACAAAGTATGTAACACTATACTAGGTGTTTAGAGCTTGCACTGTAAGGAAGTTTGCCTTTTAGTTGTCTTAGCTATTTCCTCTATTACCACATCCAGATAGTTTGCTCTTTGGGCATCTGATGTTCAAGGGACAGGTGAACTTAAATGTGGTGGGACAAAAAGGAATGCAAACTAGATGTGAATATGTAGTGCTATTCTATTCCAAACTTTCTAAGACTTGAAAAAGATAAATCAATTACTTTCTCAATATTTAGAAAATATTTCACATCATTTTTCCATATATAATACCTGGGTTATAAGATCTACTTCTACAAGATTATTCAGAGCACAGAATCAAGATGGACATTAAACTCTCCTCTTTAAGATGAAGAGAGTATGTGTGACAAATAAGTCATTCAAAGCACAACTTAAATGTGCAAGAATATTTTTATAGCATTTATATTGCTATGAAATGTTTAGACAAGAGCCAGGCTCAGCAAATGAGAAGAATCTCAAAGCTTCTTCCTGAGATGCTTCTGTGATAAATGTATTCAGTCAGAAATTGAGACCCATCAAGGAGGAGTAAAGATGTACATGAAACTTATGAGATGTACATCTGCATCTTCTCTCTTACTGGGAACACCATAGGCACTGAGGAGAAAGGTGTTACCTGGATGCAGGCGGAGAGGGACTAAAATGAACTACTTTTCATTGTTTAAAGTGATTCTGTTGGGAATTTTATTTTAGATCCAGGAGAAACATAGGAACAGTGGGATTTATCGTAGAGTATTTCCTATGCTACTTGAGCACTGAATAGGAGAGGCTTACATTAGTGGAAGACTTTCTAAACAATATATTTATTGGTGCTCTTTCTTTTCAAGTTCCTCAGGGGTTTACTTAGGTGCTGGCTGTGACAGAAGCTTTTCTCTTGTATAGATTTCTCAATGCTTATTAAGGGCAGAGCTTTTCCTGAAACACTTGCCACCCTGTGGTTTCTCTCCTGTGTGGGTTTTATCATGTGCACGTAAATCAGAACTCTTACTGAAACTCTTCCCACAGTCAGGACACACATGAGGTCTCTCTCCTGTGTGTATCCTCCAGTGTGCATTATAATGAGAACTATTATTGAAGTTTTTTCCACACTGTTCACATTGATAAGGCTTTCTTTCTGTGTGGGTTCTCTGGTGAATGATAAGGCTTGAGCTCTGATTAAATCATTTTCCACACTGATAAGTTTCTCTCCTGTGTATATTCTCCTGTGGGTGATGAAATTTGAACCGTCCTGGAAACTTTTTCCAGTCAGAACACTTACAAGGCTTTTCTCCAGTGTGGATTCTCTGGTGTCTAATGGGGCGTGCACTACGACTGAAGTTTTTCCCACAGTCAGCACTTCATATGAATCTTCATCTGAAGGGATATCTGATACGTGAGGTGGGAGTTTGCACCAAAGTTTTTGCCATAACTGATGTATGCTCTCTCCCTCAAGTGCAGTTTTAGATGCTTTAGGACTTTTCCTGAATTCTTCTCTAGGACTATCAGTTTTCCTCTTCTCTCTCCTGGAGTCTTTTCCCACATCTTCCTGATTTGCATTCACTCTTCCTGCCTTTATCACGACTATGAAGTGGAATAATTTTTCTTTCAGATCTTGCAAGTAGTGTCCTATGCAGTTGCACTTCCTCAAAATATCCTGATTTGAATTCTTTTCATTTTCAAATCCAGCCTCAAAACCTGATATAAGGATAGAATTTTAAGTTACTCATTTCCTCAATGGTGTGTAAAAGGGCACTCAAAACCTAGGAAAAGCAAGTATTGCAGTTAGATGATTAAAAATCAGGGAAGTAAAATATCAAATTCTTATTTAATAAAACATCAGTGTGTTGTTGTTTTTTAAAAAAAAACCCCACCAATATTTTCCCTACTAGATAACCTATCACTTGCTGTTCACCTACAAAAGGGCTGACTAGTAACCTTTAGCCTATTTGTATACCCAGGGTCTTCAGAAAATCCTCAGCAGAGCAAGGAAACTTAAAACCATCACTATGCTTAGACAGTGAAGATATTTCCCAGGGCTGTATTTTTGCCTATTCTCTGGCCTAATATGCTATTCTAATTTCTGTTCTTTTCCAGTAATTAAAGGGATTAGAAGGGAATAGCCAGGAAAACTACTTGAAAATACCTGTATCTAGAAATCTAAAGCTACTTGGGTCACTTAACCACAAATTCCAGTGTATATTGGGAATAAAAACTGGGTAGAAAAAGACATGTCTTTCAAATAATAATGCTTTCTAAGAGATAACCCTGTTAGGAAAAGACTCTTTAAGACAGTTTTCTCTGTCCTTGGAAAAATAATCATTAAATGTTCCAAAATACCTACTCTATTGCTTAGGTGTTTACCAAGCAACTTTTCAGGCATATTCTCCAAAGAACCAAATGCCAGCTTCTCTGGGCCTAGGATATAAGATTTTAAAGATGTTCCACATTACAACCTTTGGGTCCTAAATTTCCTAAACTAAATTTGAGCAAAAGAATTATTATCTATATTTTTTTTACCCAGAAACTTGATTTTATGAGATTTTCCCAAGAAATAGGGATTAAATGAAATCAAGTATGTGGAGAAAACATGTATTGTGAGCTTCCAAGAAATGTGTTCCACATTTCCTAAACCTACAAAGATAGCTATGATTTACTGAATTCCTACTATGTATCCCCACCACTTATCTTTCAATTTGTCATCCTGTGGTGGCTTTCATGTGGCTGGATGCTGGAAGCTAGGCCACCAGTATTCAGGTGTCAGTAGGGTCACCCATGGTGGACAGATTTCAGCACAGCTTCCGAATTAAAACAGACCAGTTATAATTTTATCACCCACTGGGAAGTACCAGCAGTCAAGAAATCAAAAGAAGTATTGCACTGGGAAAATCTGCTGTCAGGGACCTCTCCAAAGTGCTAAAGGGCAGTGATGTCAGTTTAAAAACTAAAGTGTGCTTGACCCAAGCCATGGTTACTTGCAGCTTGCAGTTACTTTTCCGTTACAGTCTGAAAGTTGGACAATGTATAAGGATGATAGGCAATCTAATTGATGCCTTTAAGTTATAGTATTAAGAGTACTGAATCTCCCAAAAAAAAAAAAGAGTACTGAATCTCCCGTGGACGGCCAAAAGAACAAACAAGTCTGTCTTGGAGAAGTGTGACCAAAGTGCTCCTTGGAAGCAAGGATGGTGAAACTTTGTATCATGGAGTTTGAGCATGCTGTTAAGAGGGGCCAGTCCTTGGAGAAGGGCATCATACTTGGAAAGGTAGAGGGTCAGTGTAAGAGATGAAGCTCCTCAACAAGATGGGTTGACACAGTGACTGTAACAATGGGTTCAAGTATAATAGAGATCATGAAAATGATACAAAAATAAAATAGGGCAAGGTTCAAATCTGATGAGTTACAGCTGACTTGAGAGCATATAACAGTAGGAAGGAGCTCACTCAAAAGAAGAAAACCTATAATCATCTCAGATTGATGCTGTAAGAGATGAGTCACGTAAATGGTTTCTATCCTAACTGCTTTAATAAAAAGGAAATATAAGAGTGATCACTAAGAGAGCTCTGGTGGGCTAGTGGTAAGAAGCTATGCTGCAGTCCCAAAGGTGCATGTTAAATCCACCAGATGCTCCGCTGGAGAAGGAGGGGCAATCTCCTCCTGTGCCAGCTATATCCAATTTGACAGCACACAAAACAACAAGAGTAATCACAAGAAGAATCCATGAAATATGCGTGTATAAGCCAATACTTGTTCTCAATGTGTTTTTTTTCCCTAAATCCCACTTCCTCTCCTTTGTATTTTAGCTGTTTAAAAGTAAAAAGAAACTTACCACTGGGACTCTGGAATAAGACGGGAGCTCGAGTTAGGACAGCCTCTGGGGGTACCTCAGTATCCTCTTCATCACCATCGGAATCGTCTTCTAGGTTCTCTTCTGCCCCTTCAGCTTGCTCCTCTGCCTTCACTGGGTCCCTTGGATGAGACAAAAAATTGTGTCCTGCTCTGGGCTATCACTGGCCAAACAGCAACCGGTACACTCACCAAAGCATCTATGTCTTCAAAGAAGGGACAGATTTCTGGTGCTTGGCCATTCTTGATCTTCTGATAGCGGGTCCGTAAGCTTTTAAATTTAGTCTGGCACTGCTCTGGTGTCCATTATAAGCACTCAGCCACTGCTTCATACAGTTGACTGAGGTGGTGACAATCCTGGAGTGCTTCATAAAACTGTGTCTCACTAAGATTTGCAAGATAAGTCTTGGTCTCTTCATAGCCCCGGTGTACACCTCCCACCAGAAGAGAAATTTTAGTACCACTTAACTCACAGCTTTAAAGCCTCAATTTATCTCTTAGATCTGCCATCTGCAATATGAAGTCCTTGGAGAAGGATATCATACTTGGAAGGGTGGTGGGACAGCACAGGAGAGGAAGACTCTTGATAAGATGGATTGATATAGTAACTGAGGCAATGGAGGTAGGCGTGTCAGAGTCAGTGAGACTAGCTCAGGACAGGACAGGCTTCAGGGCTGGTGTACATTGGGTCGTTATGAGTCACAGGCAACTCTGCGACTCAACAGCACGTAACATGCTGGACTCCTAGTTGAAAAAGTAAATACTTCATGTTTCCTAAACCTATACAAATCATTATAGAATTTTTTCTTCCCTGTACCCTATAGCAGTTTCACAAAAACCTTAATTCCTATGCCTTTCTGTAAGACTGCTCAAACCATCAGTATCATACACTGAGGCAGGTGGTGTTGTTATGGTGTACCATTGAGTTGGAACTGACCTACCTATTTTCAGAGACAGTTTAATCACACAAGAGGAGACTGCCCATCTTTCTTCTGTGTAGTGTACAGCATGTATTTTTCCATCTTTCATGAGTAATGATGTAATGATGGCAGTAACAAATTCTGAGGTGCTAGGCAAGAGTAATGCTGTCTATTACACTTAGTGTCAACTTGACTGGTATAAACAGTCTCAGTGGTTTGTCAGTTACATAATAATGCAGTTTGATAGTTATGTAATGATGTAGTCATCCTCCAATTTTGCTAACGTGAGTTTTACCCTATCATGTCAGTAAATGTAGAGTGGGTGTAATGGCACCTAGCACTTTATTGAAGAGGGAAGAAAAGCAAAGATATATAGAAACAATTAGTCCAAAGGAGTAATAGACATGAGTCTGAACCTACATGACCCTGAATCCAGAAGAATTAGATAGTGCCTGGCTACTCTAGAAGGGACCACAGTAGAATGTCATCTTAGACAGAGAAGAAAACTGTAGAACAAAAGTCAAACTCAAAGAAATAGTCAGGCTTGCTGATCTAAAAGATACTGGTAGAACCTCCTTGGAGCCTGGAACTGAACTCACCCCTGTAGCTCAACATTGAGCCAAATTATAGGTCTATGAGATGAATAAACACTAGAGAGGTACTCACTCCTTAGAACAATTAGATATACAAGATCAAAAGGGCAACATTTGCCCAGGGATAAAGATCAGAAGGCAAGAAGAGGTAGGATAGGAGGATGAATGGACACAAGAACCACAGAGAGAAGGTTGGAGGTGTGCTCTTACAATGTGTAGACTAAAATCACAAGACAAAAATGTCTTGGGAGAAACACTGCCAGTTTTCACTCAAAGCATAATGAAAAAAATATACTTACTCCTCACTTATTGGCTATATTATCTAACATTTTGCATTTACAGCAATAATAAAAAAATCTACTATTCCACTAACTTGTGCATAATGAGGTAGAAGGCAGGAGAGCAAAGGTTGTTGAGGGTTCCCTCCAGAGGAGGGGTTTCCAATGACCTCCAAGGCTGAGCTGCTGCCCCCACTCCCTCTTTAGGGTGTGAACAATGAACCTAGCTGTCTCAGGACCAGTCTCCTCCCTGGCTTAGGCCTCTGGGTAGTGCAGCAAGCCAACAGGCACTTATCTGGGTGCCTTGCTCCTGTGTGGTCTGAGGCCCTTCTGCTCAAGATTGCTTTAGAGTGGGAAGGGAGTAAAAGAAAGAAAAGAGGAACTGGAGGAGGTGTTTGGAAGAAAAGAATGTGAATTTTTTATCATCCCAAAGTAAGCTAAACTGGGCCTGAAGCTTCTGCTGTGGAGGTAGGATGCATCACCAGACTGCCTTTAAAGAAGTCCTCAGCCCTGGTAATTCACCAAACCCAGAGGGTGGAGCAGGGATTGTGAACACAGGGTTTGCAAGACTGGGGTGGAGCCCTGGAGGGATGCCCTCACACAACACATGAAGCAAGTGGAGTGGTTAAACTGTGGCCCTCCAGTCACACAGCCCGGTTTACCAGCTTTCTCACTTCCAAGCCTCTTTCTGTGAGGAAAAAATCCCTAACTAGACCTGTAATAGTAATGAGGACAACAGTAGATCTTAACTGTTATTTCCATGATCATAACTTTAAAAAAAGAAAAAAAAAATCAGACATGCTGTCAGTTTTTGCATAAAAATTGGTCTTTGAAAACTAACCAGTAAGTGAGAAGTGTATGTAAAGTGACAAATTCTCCTCAAAGAGCCTGTAATAATTTTATGAGAAAAAAAAATAATAAAAGGAATTTCTTTTCAGGACTTTTTTGAATTGTCAGAGTATATTTCTTTCAAAAATCTAAATGTTACTCCCTAAATCATTTGGGCTCCCCCCCGCCCCAAAAGAGAATACACAAAGAATTTAGAAAGTGCCTTTTCTGGCAGTTGATATTAACCCTCATTCAGCCTTAGCTGAAGTCTAATCCCCAAATTAAGAAAAGCCTCTTACCACTTGGGCTTCTGAATAGGACTGGTGCAGATGAATGGTTAGAGTCCTGAAGGGTGGCCTCCCTGCGGGCACATTGGATCCCTGTGGGACTCCTCAACTGGGGCTGTTTGTGCTTCCCTATCACACTGCCAGCCCTCTTGCCTTGGCTTCTGAGTCTCAGCATCACTGCCTACTAGATCACAGTGAAATGCTGCCCCTTTCAGGTCGCTACTGGGCAGGGCAATGACCTGGGCACTCATCAGGGCTTCCATCTCTTCAAAGAAGAGACAGGTCTCAGGTGGGTCGCCCTCTTGACTTTCTGAAAACTCTTCTGGAGACCTTTAAACTTGGTCCGACACTGTTCCATGGTCCGGAGGAAGCCATACTCCCGGAGCAGCTCAGCCACTGCCCCATACACTTGGCTGTTTCTATGACAGTTTCAGAGAGCCTCATAAAACTTAGTCTGACTGAGAATTGTGAGGAGTGTTCTGGTCTCTTCATAGCCCCACTACACACCTGCCACCTTCTCATCCTCCAAGCCCCAGTGATCCTGTACTACCCAGCTTCTTTTCTCCCTCCTAGATGGTAACAGATGAAGAGGCATTTGTCTATCTCCAGTATGACTGCCTCTTGGGAGTCCCTTCTCTGTGGAATTCAGCAGATCAGGGATCATGGGTTCTCCTTGCTCTAGCCTGGAGACTGTACCACATTTAGGAAACAGAAATCCTGCTTGCAGGGAAGCAAGCAAAGTATATCATTGTTTGGACTGATCATGAAAAATATCTGAGTTTAGTTCTTTGGGTTTTTATCCAAGAAGATTATTAGGAAGTACCTAGGGAAATGTGTTCAGAAAGCTCAATGAGTTGAAGATAATGGGGACCATACTGAAAAAAATTGGATTTTCAGTGCAGCATGAATGATTGCAAACCCTAAGTCTCTGTAAACTTTCATTAAAATGAACAATAATTTTTAAAAAATTATATTTTCCAGAGATGGGTGATGAGAGAAAGAGGTTCTGTTGTTCAGAGCAGATAATTATATTCCTAGTTGATCCCTGACTCACCTGACCACTTGTGGACAGGATCTATTGGAAACAGTTATCTCTTATTTCCTATAGTTCTTCATTTAGGGCTAGAAAAATTAAATACAGTGATTTTAATGTGGGGAAAGGTATGTTTATTCAACCCAGTCACTTCCTTCCCATTTGGTCAGTTACAAATTCTTTCTGTAGGCAACTGCCCTCGATAAATACTATCTCCTGCCACCATACAACCCCAGACTCCTTATCCCCTCACATCTGGGTAACCAATTGCAATCACCAAAACAATAACCTAACTCTTGTCTACCTAACTCCAAACTCTTCTTTCTCAATTCATAGCTAAACTGCCACCAGAACTTTGCCTTCTCAACATTCTTTCTTAATTAAAAAAAAACCCTCATCAACTCAGTGGATGGTTAAAGTCTGTAAATCACATGGGAGGAAATTACCCTTCTTTCCTGCAGAATCACTGGTGTATTTGAACTTCCAGAGGTGCTACTTTTAGGTTAGCAGCTCAACACATTACACACGAGGCCACACAGCTACCGTCAAATCACTTCCTTGCTCATAACCTTCAACAACTCACTAAATCTTAACCACATCCAAAGTATACTCTCCTGCAGTTTTCAAGATTAGACTTAGTTCTATGTTGTTGAACTTTTCTTTGACTTGCCTACCACATACTCTCCATTCATTTTAAACTGTTTTATTCAGAACACAGCTAAATTGCTATGTACCACTTTGTGCTTTCTTTTTTTTTTT